ATGATATAACCCGTTGCCTAATCGTAGGACTTCTAAGGATGTGATGAGTTCGTATATCTAGGGTTACGGATATAGATGGATGACGTCGATGTAGTATAGATGTGATGTAAAGATAGTGATCGTTAATCGGTTATCCATCTTATCTTATCAGGGATCTATCTAATCTAATCTTATCGGATAAGGTGACTTAGGGTTTGATAATCGAAATTTAGATGCAGCTGGTAACATTCATGACATATATATGGACCGGACGTACCTCTCTTCCTTGCTGAAACCATGCAGGGGATATATTGATGCAACCGGGCGTAATCTTGCCATCCGGACTTGGATGAAAGTTAGACCGATGGGTCCTCCATTCAACAGTCCTACCAGTTGTTATGCTGTGCTTCAATAAATCACTCATGGAATGCGTTGCACCATGCATATCTTGCTGTTATGTATGTCCGGCTGAGCTGAAATTCAAATGAAGATCAATGGAAGACTGACCATCATCATAGCAGCATAGCTCCAGGCAAATACCAGACAATGATTCTACCTCCGGAATCGACTGATGACGGCTGGTGTTGTCAAGAAATGCTCCTGTTCGGGGGGGAATCTGTCGAAGAGGGTCTGCTCTCGTTTTGCACTTTGACTGGATTCATCTTTGTCCAGGGCATCATTGTATCTGACCATGTCTATTTTGAGATGAACTGTATGGTGGTGAGTTGACTGGAATGTGGTGATGGACCGGCATACCTACCGGCATTGGAGTATGCAGAGGCCATCACATTGGCAAGATGCTCTAATGCAATGCAAGTGTCAATATCCAAGAGTCCAAGGTTCATGTTTTTTGCCGGTCATTGATGAATTGTGGACATGAAAATCTCAGTGAACCAATTCACCAGCAAGGTAGGTCTGATACAAAGCCCAGTCTAGTGGGATTGCGACCATGTCTGGAAAACCAAATGAGTGATGGAAAAACACCACTGTTGAATGATAGCCGGAGAGATAGCAGTTAGAGAAAATAGTTTCACATTCACACGGCCTGATTGCAAAGACAAAAACCGGTGCTTCTCATTTACATTGCAGTGAATATGACAGTAACATATAATAGTATAACATATTGACCAGATGCTGGAAGATGTCAGGTTGTCCTTGACTGCACCCAGGATGCACTATGCACTGACATCTGTGTTCAACCGGTCAATGAGTGCCTGTGAGGATGCGACAGCCCTTGTGAGTTCATTCAATCGGCCCAACCAATCCAGCCAACCTATCACTTGAGCTTCTAAAATTGTTCATCCTTCCCTGTAACATATCCAGCAACTCTCTCCCAATTGGCGTCTTGTGGCACTGCACAAGAGATGTTGAACCGGTTGTATCTGGCAGCGGATCCGGACCCTGAAGAATATATGGGAGCATGCCGGACCTTACATGATCCGGCTATTTTGGATGTTGTGAGCATCCGGCAAAGATTAACATGATCTGAGGGACTTACGAGTTGTGAACAGTGAAATTCAACCAAATCCATCACATCTTTGATGGATGACTTTGGCAACATATCGGACACCCGGCAAGAACCGAGACTTTCCTTCCACCAGTCATTGAAGTAGTCCGGCATATGAGCAATGTCATAGTCATCGCATGCATTGGAATCAACAGAGAGGCGCAATGCCTTGATATCCTGCAGGATAGCATCAACATCCGGTCGTGGTCCACCAATGTGTGTGCGTGTTATGACCAGCGTCCCTTAACCTAACTAGTAGGTGTCTGGAGTATGGATCACACCACAGGACTCAGTCTGAAGAGGATAAAGCAAGGGTAGTATTGAGAGGGAACGTCTAGGCCCTACGATGACGTAGAAACGAGGAGGTTAAGTCTAAGGAGTACTACTGACTACGACCTAAACTATATACTACTCTCTAAGCGGAGATAGCTGAGTATGAAAGGTTTGTGATAAATATATACGGTCATAACATTGCACTAGGGTATAGGGCGTCTTATCAACCAATCAACTACAAGGTGAAAAGGGTAAGGGTTCATAGGGGTTAGGGTATCGGTAATTAAGCAGGGTTCTCAGGGGCTGCTTCTATTCAGGGTGAACGGAGATTAAGAAGGGTGTGAGAGAGTTCTGTGACAAGAAGTCTCGAGCGGTAATTAAGGATCTCGATAAGAGATAGGATCTTGGATCTAGATCTGAGGATCTAGATAGGATCTGGAGATGTATCGGGTATGATCGGATCTAAGGGTTCTCCAGGGTCTTCGGTAATGAACATGCTTCTCTATGAGCGATGCTTTCTGTGATAGGGGTTCAGGGTTCTAGCTGTGACTGTGCGGAGGGTCTAATGTAAGGGGTTCGGTGAATGACAGAGGTAACTCTTAACATGTCATGAGAAGTGAAGGTGTGCGATGTGAAGGGATGATGACTCTTCGAGAGATAGCTCGTAAAGGACTCTCGGTTATGGTTCGATCATAGAGGCGTGTAGAGTGTTGTAGATGCTTATGATGTAACCCATTGCCTAATCGTAGGACTTCTAAGGATATGATGAGTTCGTATGGTTACGGATATAGATGGATGATGTTGATGTAGTATAGATGTGATGTAAAGATAGTGATCGTTAATCAGTTATCCATCTTATCTTATCAGGGATCTATCTAATCTAATCTTATCGGATAAGGTGACTTAGGGTTTGATAATCGAAATTTAGATGCAGTTGGTAACATTCATGACAGTGCGGTCATGATTGCAAGCACCCCCTTGAGAAGGTGGGGAATGACAGCGGACAACTGGGTGATAAATGATATATTGATGAATGGAGTTACAAAGGTCTGTATGACAGTGTAGAAGATGAGTGCAAGGGAATATCAGCATTGCCGGATAGCTACCTCCATCTCCCATTTCATCAAGATGTAAAAATTTGTTGCATAGCCAGGCATGTCAGTGGCAAAACTCTTGTCAACATAGAGGCGCATGGCCAACAACCGGGAATTGGCATAGAATAAGGCGCAGATAAGGGCGAGAGATATCCCCAGCAGTGATTTGATTGCCCTTAGCAGCAATGATGACTTGGTCAGGGGGGATGAGAGTTACAGTGGCTCAAAAAACTGTCCACATGTTTTCACATTTTTCACTATCTATGATATTGTGTGAGAATATACAAAAACTCAAGGACATGCTGGTACCATATTGTAGCACCACTTCAGGGCTTTCAATTGAGCACTATGGCGTGGGAAGTGGTGAGATATGGTTGAGATATGAGGCTTCCAAAATGATGACTCATGTGGACAGTTTTTTGACTCAAGTATTTTACAGTGATAATCAGGTATTCTAGTACTTGTGTGACCTCCCTTGGCTTTAATTACTGCCTCTATCCTTCTAGGCATACTCTCAATCAATTTCTGGCAATATTCTGTTGCAATCCTTCCCATTCCACTGCTACTCTCTCCCATAGCTCCATACTCCTTTAGGGGGGTTTCAGGCTTGAAGCTTCTTCTTGAGTGTTCCCCAGAGATGTTCAATGACATTGACATCAGGGGACTGTCTGGTCAGTCAAGAACATTGATATTATGTTCTTCAAACCATTTTCTGGCTCTCCTAGATGTGTGCTTGGGATCATTAGCCTGTTGGAAAATGATGTCTTCTTCATCAATCCCTGATTCAGCTATGCTAGGCAGCAAGTGGTCATTTAGAATGTCCACATACTGCTCAGCATCCATCCTCCCCTCAACTTCAGCAAGCATACCCACACCATTCCATCCATACAGCCCATACCATTAGAGAACCTCCTCCAAATTTGACAGTCTCACAACCTCTCTGTCTGTTAGAAATCTCCCTTCTTTTTCCATACATATACCTTCCCATCTGACCCAATCCTATTGATTTTGGTCTCATCTGACCATATAACATGCTTCCAGTCCTCTACAGTCCAGTTTTGATGGGCCAAGCCAAAGGTAGTCTTCTCTGCCTATGTTTGATAGAGAGAAGAGGCATTTCTTCTTTGTTACTGCCTTGAGAGCTGCCTTGAGAACATCCCTCACAGTTTGTGAAGAGACAGTGGTGGTGATGGTGGAATTGATATAATGGGTGGCTTGGACAGCATTATCAGCCTTTCCTGTAGTGATATGTTGAATGATAGCCCTCTTATTAGTAGAGGTGGACATCCTCCACAAGAGTTTTCCTTGTCCAGGTGGCTTTCTTTGATAAATTGGCCAAGTAGACTTGCATACTCAGTTCTAGAGGAAATTTGATGAGCAGAGAGGCCAGAATAGGACAAAGAGAGGATATTATCCCTTTGAGCAGAGGAGATGGCTTTCATGGTGATTATGATCATGACACATGAACATTCTGGTTTATATAGTTAGATATAGTTTAAGAGTATGCCTAGAAGGATAGAGGCAGTAATTAAAGCCAAGGGAGGTCACACAATGTACTAGAATACCTGATTATCACTGTAAAATACTTGAGTCAAAAAACTGTCCGCATGAGTCATCATTTTGGAAGCCTCATATCTCACCATATCTCAACCAATTCCCACGCCATAGTGCTCAATTGAAAGCCCTGAAGTGGTGCTACAATATGTACCAGCATGTCCTTGAGGTGTTTGTATATTCTCACACAATATCATAGATAGTGAAAAATGTGAAAACATGTGGACAGTTTTTTGAGCCACTGTACAGTATTGTTCATGGAGGGAATGTGAGGCTGTAGTGAGACTGACACTCAGAATTATTTACATGTGTCAACCATAATTTCATATTACCTAACCGGTGTTATGAAAGATTCAACCGGTACCAAGAACTGTCCAACCGGTACCAAGAACTATCCACCCGGCACCATGAACTATATATCCAACCGGTAACATGAACCACCCGCCCGGTACCATGAACCATCCGACCGATGGCATGAACCATCCGACCGGTACCATGAACCATCTGACCGGTGGCATGAACTATCTGACCGGTACCATGAACTATCCGACCGGTACCATGAACCATCAAACCGGTAGTTCTGGCTGACCTATCATCTTCCGGAAAGTATCCTCTGCATGTCCTGCTAGTTGGTGATATATGTGAGATTGTCGGGCAGCATAACATGTATGTCCGGTGAGCCCTGCAGAAGTCGCGGTGTCCATGTGACTGAGCCATTGCTTGGCTTTGTGGTTAAAGAAATTAATGGACCACTGCATTTCATGTTTGACAAGAATAACCTCCTCATTCCAACGATCACGCAGTGCTTTCGTCCGGAGCCAATTCACCCGATAAACTATTGAGAATATGTGAGACCGGACATCCTGATACACCGGATACAGCAGACAATCACATTCTGTCATCCAGTCATTGCCTGATGTGTCGCCCTGAACATCCAAGGACCAGAACCATGAAGAGTCATGTCCTCTGACCACGTGCATTGGGATC